GTGTGGCTATATCATCTAGTCCCCCCCAAAATTTACTCGAAGCGATTCTGAGCTTAAGAGTAAGTTCTGGTCGGTCGAGTGTCTTCCTCGAGTCTTTTCTCATATCCTGTCACCTGTCGTTGCCCTAAATTATACCCGGTCGCTTCTGCGACTTGCGAAGCGGTGTTTACCCAATCGTATTCTGGATTGATTGGATAAGTCTGGATCTTTTCAAATTTCAAAATTCAAAAGATAAGGCACTTTCTCTCTCCACCGCTTCGTATTCTGTGCATCATCTTAATCGTTGAGAGTGACTTTAATCCGAGGGCTGGGGTTTCTCTGCCCTCTCTATAAATAATCCCCATCTTTTCTCGTCCTCACTTTTCGCACTCACCTCCTTCAAGCTTTCTGTTTTTACTCGGCAAACACAGCTTTCCGGCGCTCTTATTTTCCGGCATCCTTTTCCGATTTCTCGGGACTTTCCGTCAAGCATCATGAGCATGAGTAAGTTTTCTTTACCTGTTCGACTTGTTTTCGTATTTTGAGATAAGAACACTTTTTTATTTTTCTAGATAAATTGTCTGGAAACAAGAACATCTTCCATTTTCTGGGAATTGCATGTGAGTCTTCTGGCGATTTTCCTGTTAGATCTTTGAATTGTAAGTTTTTCATTTTTCCAAGTGTTTATCTTTTGTTAGTCGTCTCGTTATGAGATTGACTCTCTTCCTTTCCTGACTTGACCTTTATTTGTCAAGTCGAATCGATATAGGAACTACTTATTTCTTCTCCCTTTCTCCTCGTCGTCGAGACGCCTCTCATGTCATCCTGGTTATTTTGTTGACCCTTCTCTTTGAACCGAATCACGATTTCTAACAACTTTTTTTCTTTGATTGCCGTTCTTTATCTTCTTAGATTCCAACCTTGACCCTGTTTCTGACCCCGTCTCCGGTTCTCTCGCCCATGAAATCGATAACTATTCGGGTTCGGACTCTGTTCACCCGGACGATGTCGAGCCGTGTTCTCATCGAGACGTCGAGCCAGAGGATTTTGCCCATTCACATGCCTCACCTTTCGATATCGATTGGGTTGTGTATAACCAGGCGTTACTTTCGGGCACCCTTTGTGAGGATCCCGAAGTTCTTAAAACCCTTGAATCTTCTTACCCCGATTTGGCTCCTCGAGGTATTTTCCGCTAGATTTCTTCGAACATCCTTCTATATGCCGCCAACCTTGTTCCTTTACTTGATAATGACTCCCCTTAATCGAGTCTGCAACTATAGCATGTTCCGTGGTAAGTTCTTACTATCGTTTTCTTTATGCTCCTGCAGCCGAAATCGATGGCTTCAGAGAGTTCAGCGGCCTACCCTCGGACTGGGCTGTCGTCGCTCCTAAGCCCGAAGACGACTTTCGTCACCCTCCCAAGGATTGTTTTACTTTTTTCGTGGATCAAATAATGTCGGGCCTGCGTTTCCCGATTCAACCTGAACTGCAATCGTTAAGTAACCTTTTCGATATACCAATAAACCAGTTCACCCCTAACTCTATTCGAATAATGGTAGCCTTCATAGTTGTTACCCGCATAGTTCTAGGTAATTTTCTACCCGAGTTTTTCCTTTACTGTTACGGGTATAGGTTTAGCAAGGACGCCCATTGTCTGGGCCGTCGAGTAGGTGTTACTTTTCTTGACGACCTCTCTTCAAACATTACCGAGTGAAAAAAGAAGTACTTCTTCATTCGACCTGCTCCTGGCCAATATCCCTTTTCGAATGAGTGGATTACCAGTAAGACGAAGCAACGTAAGCGCCCGATTCTTCCCAGTTTGCTGACATGTTAGAAGAGTTAAATAAACATGTGTGGAGCGCTCGTAGTCTTACCAAAGACACTTCTTTACTTAACCATGTTGGTATTTGTGTTGACCAAGATGTTCCTCGTCTTAAAGACCCTTGTAAGCCTCTTAGTTTGTCGTCTTTTTCTCCGATTTATTTACTGCTTGCTTGGTTTTGTGTTTTTGCGTTTGGCTGTCTTGGAACATATGGGCGGCTAGTGTGTTTGTCGGTATTGATCGTTTTCTTCCTTTTCTTTTTTAGTAAAAGCATTGGCCCGTTTTGAGAAGAAGAATGTTAAGGCAACTGACGCATCGGTTGCCCAAGAGCTTGGAGGCGGCTCGAGTTTTGTTGCTCCGTCGGCGGCGGTCGAGACGACTGCCGCTAAGAAGTCTAGAGTTGTCCTCCCCTCGGCCACTGTGCCGGGCAAGTCGTCGGGTCCTTCTCGCAAGAGGTCTC